ATACAAATCGTAATTACGTATGAGCAAGAAAATCAAAGGATTTACAGGAACTGGAAAAGGCTAGAACGATTGAAACGATATACATATAAAATACAAACATGTAGATGTGATCTTTAATGTTTATAGCAAAATATATCTTTGTTACATGAACACGATCAGTATGTAAGGATTGGAAGCCACCTTCCACATGAGATATCAGATTTCAGGCAGTTATCGGCAGTGTTATACTATAATGGTAAAATGGGTAGTAAATTAGTTAGTTTTTAAAATGGTGCGTGTGATCAAGATTTCTTTGGCCGCGGTGGTGGAACTAATGTAACTCCGTTAAAATAAGGGTGGCTTAATGCTTTCTTTGCCGATATCCTCTGGTTAGGATCATAAGTCAAGAGTTTCTGTCAAAACAAATAACATTAAAAAAAAAAAAAACAGATACATACATACACATACAATATAAGTTATCTATATTTTCTGGTCGTCCATCGAGGCAGTTCTTACCAAAAGCAAATCTTTGGCATCGGAATCAAAGGAAGGTACAACCTCGTCTAGAGATCGAGGCTCCCAGCTAGGGAACATCGACGTGTAATCACGTAGCTGCGTTACTCCTGGCCATATGTTCTCGTCAGGTGTACCTAAAGTGCGGAATATCCTGAATAGTTGATCTATCTCGGAATCACCTGGGAATAAGGCTCGTCGTGTTGCCTGCAAGAGTAACGTTAACTTTCTCGTAAAGTAACAACAATTTTTCATATTATACGTCGATAACAATCGTGATTACCATCTCGGCGAATATACAACCTAAACTCCATACATCAACTGCGTTGGAATATAATCTAGTCCCTAAAAGTATCTCTGGCGCACGGTACCAAAGCGTTACTATTTCATGGGTGTACGTCCGCACAGGGACGCCGAACGTCCGGGCTAAACCGAAATCCGCTAATTTTATGTGGCCTTCCCGATCTATCAACAGATTCTGCGGCTTTAGATCCCTGTGTACAATGCAATGAAGGTGGCAGAAGGCAATTGCTTTCAATAATTGATACAAATAGCTCTGTGAACATAAGAGAGGCCTGTCTTTGAACAATGCATGCATCTACTTTCGGCTGTCATCTTTCTAAGGCAATACCTTGACGAGAGCTTGATCTAATCCTCCTTTAACGAAGTCTAACAACTTTTTTAAGTCTTGTTGTAAGAACTCGAAAACGAGATAAAGGTGTTTGTCGCCGTCTACCACGTCGAATAATTGAACAATATTTGGATGCGTAAGTTCCCTTAACAATGATATTTCTCGAATAGCAGTGGAAGGGACACCCTCTGTTTCTCTGATGCAAATTAACAGTACTTTACTAATCACATGTGTCGGTGATCGACGTTATATTAAATATTACATTATTATTTCCTCTTTAAACAATTAAATATAAATATGTATATACTATATCATTCGTTTATACACAAAGCAATTTGAATAAATCTAAATAAGTGCATTTTGTGAATATTGCGAGTAGTATGTGATTTCGAATTTAAAATTCTGTGGAAATAGACACACATCACTGGAAACAAATGTGTAGTAGAAAATCCCATGGTACACATAATTAATGAAAGATCTCAAATGAAAAACCAGGCGAGCATGACACAATGAGACAAGCTGAATAATGTGGTGCTACGAGAATCTAGTGTAACGTGGCCCCTGCAGATTCAGCTGACCCCAATGTGAGTTAGCAATGTTAGCAACGTAAGTTAGCAAATGTTAGTAATGCATATAAGCAAAAGCTGAACCGATGTGGCACTTCGGTTCACTACTCTCATTACGTTTCTGTACGGTTACACATAGGAATTACATATATAAAATTGTTTCATCAGCTCCAAGGTCGTGCAAAACATTGTATCTTTGAAAATGTAAGCAGACCGTTAGTTGTACAAAAAAAATACGGAATCCTGATAGGAGTCTTGATCATAAGTATTGCACAGCTAATTTGTGTGAAGCAAGATTATTTAAACATTCGTGAAAGTGTAATACTGCACCGCTGAACAAGCAGAAGATAATATAATTTACTTATTGTAAAATGAACATTTCTATAATGCTAAAATTAATTAATATAATTCTCGTTAAATGCGTAGCATATATTTATTACACATATATACGTACACACGGTTCTTTAATCAATAAATTGATACAACGTAGAAATAGTATCAGTAAAAATATTGTAAGTACATCTTAACTTTCATAAAAATATGGATCCTGCAACGTGTGCAACAGATTTCTAAACAGTAAAACCATTTTCCGTTAGAGTACTACTAATATTAAATAATTACGAAAGACAGTGTGCGTTGATTTTGGGAGTCGCTCGCAAACGACGCAACCCCTATATACGATAGTACGTTAATTAAACATATGTAGATCTGTATTAAAAAAAATTATGATAATTTGGACGTACGCCTCGAGACGAATTTTCTTAAGGGCCACCAGCTTCCCAGTTATCAGATCTTTGGCTTTATAAACCACTCCATAGGTTCCTTCCCCTATTTTTTCGATCTTGACGAAGTTGTCCATAACCTCAACGTCACGTTCGACGTTGTCACTTCCGTTTTGACACTCCGCCGTAGTTGCAGAATATTTAACACCGTTTCGTGATTTGTACAAATTTTGTATCGATGATACATCGACACACGGTTTCGCCGTTTGATAAGCAACGTATTTCTAGCCGTTTCTACGAAAATTCTTTGTTTATCAACATCGGTGGAGCATCTGACACGCGTGTCTCGAAAACGCCATTTTTATTTTGGCGGTAAGTGCTTAAGAAAAAGAATAACCATGATGGTGCCCATCACTAAACCATAGACATATGACACGTATGAGAATAAACGATAACCGATTCGGGAAATCAATAACGGTAAACGATCGATAGGTTTATTAAATAATCGACGCCAACGTCACAGGGAGAATGAACTTATAAAACCGTTGTTGTCAAGAAAAAATTTACAAACTGCTGTATTCTTATCGTTTATTTGGAGAAGAAGATGCTACAGGTATAATATTATCAATAATATATCACAAATACAACTATTATATAATTATACAAATAACAAACCGACAGTACGGAGAATTAAAAATTTATCATAAGAAAATGACTTTACAAACATTAGCAAAGAATTTGTTGGGATCTGATAACTGAAATGGGAAATTATGTAATTTGTATTGAATGTTATTCTTAAGAAAACCTGATTATACATATTTCTAATTAACATTTATATTCGAATTGAAGAATATTTCTAAATCTTGTAATATTAAATATAATTCATAATATGTAGATATATATTATATTTACGGTGACCATATTTTTGGGAGTGAATCGGGGATAAAAAAGGAGGGAATTAACTTACAATAACACACAAACAGTGAATAATGAAATTCTTGTATTGGATTATTTTATAAATGATTTATTGAGAGAAAGGAAAAAACAATCGAACAAAAATAAAGTCTTCATGACGTAA